CGTGTATATATATATATATATTGCCGTGTGTCACTAGTGTTCACCATGTTTGGGAAGTGTCTAAGTTTAATTTCATCTTAAAATAATTCTCGAGACAATATTTGAAGCGTTTGACACCTATCCAGATGTGTTGAAGTCATGCTCAAGTCTCACACATGTTTGACAACAAGTGCTCCTGTTTTTGGATGAGAAGTCGAGTATAAAAAAAGTGGAAAGTGGGAGTGAACTTATTCTATTAGAGTCATTATAGGAAGTGTAAATTGAGGGATTGCTCCAATTGACAGTAATGTGGTGAGAAGCACCTCTGCATAACGTACAAACGAGAGTGACTGGTGTCGTTAAAAATGTAATAGACTCATGGTTGCTTTGATTTTTGTGAATGAGACCTATGCGATTGCAGCGTTTGTGAGCGGATATCAGTGGTTTATTTGGAGGAAGCTCATTTTTTTTCACACTTCCAAAGTGATTGGGAGAAAGCTAGTTGAAATGCAAGGCACCGCTTGATTGTTACCTTTAATGTTGTATGCCAAGATAGGGGTGATGTATATTGCATGAAAGCATGACAACTAATTTTGACCAGGTGTTGATGAGTCAATAGCATGCAAATAGACGACAATGCTCATAGTAGGAGTTGCGTATGCATGGAAGGCTGCAAGCAAACTAGTGCTCATGACAAGCATCTCGATACCCATTCACTTTTCTATTTTGTTTGTTTGTTTCTTTATTTGAACTATCTAAATAAAATTTTTTAAAAATTAATCATATAAATGAACAAGCTTGAAAACAAACTTATGCTTTTATGTTTGTAGACATGCTCGTTTATTGTTTAAAAAGTTACTAATATCTTTATAACATGCTCATTTAGTGATAACTTAATTGCTTATTCAATGACTTTTTCATGTTATTGGATTAATTTTCTTATATCTTAGGCACTTTAAAAATTATGCATATTATTATAGGTATATTTATCATGAAATACCATATAAATAAGTAGAAATACAGATTTATAGTTTCAAACATTGCATTTTATTTTTTAGCTTTCATAATTTTGATTAAAATCTATAAATCTAATTATACCTTGTAATTATGTTATATTCTTAACTCATTAGCATCAAACATTTATTTACTTATGCTTGATTAAAGTTTTTTTTCTTATTTGAAGCCGATGAATCTATAATACATAAGCTTTAACCAAAATGAATGAGCTTGAATAAGGCATCACTCGGTTCAACTGAGTTTATTTACAACACTAATCGTGAGATACGGTGCATGTTGAGGGTGCGAGATTCAACAATTTGAGATTTTTCAATGGTCGATATTTCTAGTTAGGGTTAGGATTGGTGACGAGGTTGGCATAGGCCAATAAAAGTTCATTTTTACTGAGATTAGGCTAGTGCATACTAGTCGATGACAATGACACATCGCAGCGCATGATACAACGCCCGCCATTTTGTTTATATTTAAAAATATTAAAGTTTCAGGTAAATATAAAAAAAATATTAAATTAGAAGATAAAATGAAATGATAATAACCAACATGAATAGTACTTAAATTTAACTATTCAATACCTCAATTACTTAAAATTCAAAATATCATGATTTTCTCACAAGTTAATATTTTTACAAGCAATTAAACTGATCATCAAAGAAATTATCACTATCATCATAAGTCCTACAAAACATTAATTTCTCCATCAACATCATTATAGCATTTTAAAATACAATCATCGTCGTCATCCTTATCAAACAAACGAAACTCACTATCATACGAACAACACAATGCCATAAGATTTTTACCCCATATATTGTGAAATTTACATGCATGCCAAACAATTCTTATATATTCATATATTCAACACCAAAAATTTACTATGTACATATATAATATTTTCTGTCATAATCACATAAAAGCATTTTCATGAAAATTGTGTTTTTCACTTTAAAAAAAATTGTTATGAGTATTTTTATGTGCTATATAAATAAATATGAAATATTAAATGTTAGATATGCAAATGTATAAAAATTAAATTGTATTTACGAAATTTTTTTTAATATTTTTCATGTTAAATCTAAAAAATCAACTTACATGCAGTATGCGTCTGTTCCAATGGATGGTGCAAAAAGCACATGCTATTTTGATGCTCCTTGTCGTGCCCATATGCCATAACATGTGGTATTTTGCATCATTGATATGTATGGGCTGGGTGTGTCTATGATGAGGATCCTTGGCCAAAACATGCTTCTGAATTTGTAAAGATTAAGTGGTTTGTTGCAGTGTATGAAGGTAGCTGTCTTCACCACTAGATGGACAATAAAGGCTTCTCAAAACTCCAAATGATTGATCGTGCCTGAGGGAGGGAATTAGCGAGTGCTATGTACAAATCACATTATAGAATTCACACTTGGAAAAAAGGGACTGCACGGTAGCTTTCACTTTTCGGAGTTGAAGTTGAAGCGTGGCAAATATTGTGAAGTTATTAGAGAGCGTAATGTTGATAAATACACCACCATGTGATTGTTGATGATGAGTCTTCAAGTTATGCATGTTAGGACGAGGAACATGACCAACGGAGTGGTAGAAATAAAAGATTGGAGAGAGAGAATCAGATTTAAATGTTAGCTGGAAACTCCAATAGTAAACTAAATAGATACGTAGGAGAATAGGAAACTAACTGATTATGATATTATGCATTTATTCCCTTCAATTTGGATTTCTAAAAGTACACCTTTTTTGCTGATTTTTTTTTACCACGATATACTGATTGTTTGTCTCAGATGACAATCAATCTTTGTTCATTTCCTGCGTTTCTTTGAATTATTATGGTTTTGTGTTGTGCTTCCTTTTCCCAAGAAGACGCTTTTCATCTTATTCTATATTTTGCCCTACCTGCCTTCTGTGCTTGTATCAAGGGTAAAATTGTGCTAGAATTTTTTATCTTTTCTTACTGTGCCTTCGGAGCATGATGGATAAGGTACATTGTTATATTTTCATCAAAGCATTTGTTATCATTATCTTCTTCTGTAATCTACAATGTAATTACGGGTGCAAAATGAAGTTCGTCTATCCAGTTAGCAATTAAATTGAATATCTACGGCTCAAAGTTTCAAAGTAAGTTGGCTTAGAACTGAATCTTTTGAACCCATGCAGCATAAACATTATTTCTGTTTTTCATGCCAAGGGCCAGCTGCAACTCTTTTGAATAGACGGATGCTTGAGGGGGTCGATGTCGGGATGATGGCAACTAGGTGAGCTGGTTAGGTGACACAATGATGAATGCAACTATATGTTGAGAATGATGGATCTGAAGAGGATGGTGATGGTGAAGTAGTCAAGATCCTTGAGGATGATGGATTTGAAGATGGTGCTAACTAAAATGACAATGATGACCATGGGGAACAGCTTTGGGCTTTCCAAGAAAACCCCAAACTGTTAAGATCATGCCTGAATTATTTTGTGTGGATCAGTTTTTTAATTTTTCGGTTATTTTTTAACGTTTCTTTGGCAAGCATCAAGAAGAATATAGTAATGATTCTACAATCCCAAGGTTGACGCTTAAGTCTAAGTTTTATTCATCCAAGATAACCTTCGACAATGATTTTAGTTTCAGAACCTCCTATTAATATTAAATATTGATCAAACCAAAGCTAGAGCTATTTCTCGATGGCTAAATTTGTGTATTCTTATAGGTGAATAAATTTGTGTGATCTTACAGGTGAATGCATATTTCTGGTCTGCACTTATTTATTTTTATATCATATTTTTAGTTAAGCTATTTCATTGTTTTTTTCTTTGATCTTTTCTAATTTTGTCGAGTTCTTACTATGTTTGGTATCTTTATCTAGTACTGGCTAAATTTTGTCTAGCAGCTTTTATGTTAACCAATTTACTTGAGTGTTTTTTTTTTTTGGCTCTACTTCAAGCATTTAATCCTTTCTTTCCAAGTAAACCCACTGGCGTTTCTTATTCATTATTAACAGCTCAAAGTGGAAACCATTTCTATTATTTTACTCTTCACCACCCTGATCAGCTCGTTTCACTAGTGCAGGATCAGTTTCTATGCTAGCTCAATGAGAAAATTAATCATGAACTATGTTCTTCAGACACTATTTTATGATGCATATATCAATATAGAGATATGCCATCTTCTAGGTTTACTTTTATGCAGCGCTATACCTGCTCAAAGTTGATAAATAGTGTATAATTTTGTATCTTGATTTTGCGATTTGCATTGATAGAGGGGACTGGCGTAGTGAAACCTAAAAACCTAACCCCCCCCCCCCCACACACACACACCCACCCGACCTTCTTGGTGAAATTGCAAATGCATCATGATTTTTCTAACTTATTTCCCATTCATCTTTTCATTTAAGTGAACTTGATATCTCAGGGGACAAAGCTGGAGCAGTATATACCAAGTTAGCGAATTGCCATCTAAAGGTTCTTGAATTTCTTTTCTATACTTTTTTTTTTTAATATTTATAGTTCTTATTGTTATCTGTATCCCAAATACAGTTAGAAAGCAAGCATGAAGCAGCATCAGCTTATGTGGATGCAGCAAACTGCTTCAAGAAAATTTCAGCTCAAGGTCATTGCTCTAGTTTCCAGGCTTCTTCAGTTGTCTTGCCTGACCAAGTTTCTTAGAATGGCTAAATGTGTTAAGCTTGGTTTGTGCTTCATTCTTTGTGATCTAAAATCTATAACAGTATAAGACTGTAAAATGATGCCATGAAAGTATAGTGGCTAATTGCTAACATATTGATAAGCACAGAAGTTGGATAAAATACTTCTTATTAGTATTGTTATGGATAACATGCTAGCGATAAATTTATAAAGGTATTTACAATTTAAATTAACAATATAGTTTTTATTAAGGTTTTAATTTTTATTCCTATTGTTTGAAACGCTTAATTGCAAAGGCTTTTTTCTGTTAATTGATATTGTTATACTTTCTCCTTGAGTTTAAACTTCTCAGATGCCGAAGAAAAATAAATCCATGGCCTTTTATGAATAAGTTTTTATGAATAATGAAGCAGCATATCCATTGAATAGTATCAGCAATAAACCTTTTGTTAAAAACTAAATGTTCACGTGTTGAGTTTGAATGGCTGTTTCCACAGCGCTTTACCAAAATTTACTTTAGTTTTAATTTTTAAATGAAATACTAGAATTATAATATTCATTGGAGTGTCACAAACTATCTTGTGTTGTTGTTGCAAAAATATCTCAAAACATAAAGTTTACTAAGAAAGATCTAAGATGAGGTGCACAAAACTATACTGTTAAATTTGCACTTCTTATATTTCTAAGTTAGATGGTTAATCCCCACTTTAGCTAAAAAATATACACAAATTTACACAATTGATTATTTAATTGTCAATTTGCAAAATCTCTCCCCAGAAATCATGATGAAAAAAAAAATGCATTTTTGATTGAAAATCGTGCATGTTAGAAATCAGCTTTTTTCAAATTTAATAAAAATCAATTATGCAATCATACCAATTCCTAAAAATAGAGAATAAGATCATGATTCATAGAAAGAAAGAGGTTCCAAAAAGAATATCTAAGCTTCATGCCAGTATAAGGAGATGACTTTTTTCAAAATTTTAAAGACTAGATGGAATTGCATCCAACTAGAGAAACATTCAATCAAAGGAAGATGAAATACATTTTTTGGTTGGATGTAATTCTTCTGCGCCTTCTTAAGTATTTGGTGAATTCATTTCCTTTAACACACACACACACACACACACATAAACAAATTGGCTAGAGACTATTAGACGAATCCCCGACCAACCCCATGTGCCTAAAAGTTCCATCTCACACATGGGCGGGATCAAACTAGTGATCACATGGGTCTTACAAACTCTGTCAACCAAAGAGTCATGGTAGGCGGCACTACGTAATCATATATATATATATATATAGAGAGAGAGAGAGAGAGAATAAAACATGAAATTCCACATATACTAGAAAAATGGATTCAAGCTCACGCCAATATGAGAAGATGACTTCTTAAAGAATTGTAAAAGACTAGCGGGAAACGCAGTAACCATAAATTCTTTCAATCAAAGTAGATCACTAAAATAAGATGAAGTAACTTTTTCTACCCTTTTAAAAATCTTTGGGAAGGTTTTGTCCTTATACTGGAGTGTGGCTTGGGACTTCTATTTCATTTCATTTCTCTTCTTTTAGTAACTGGCTGGAATGCGTGATTGCATTTGTCAGATTTGATATGATTTTTTTTTTCAATTATGGTGCAATTTTTTCTTAAACATATAACTCATGTTCCTTAATTTATATGTAAAATTTATGCTAAGAAATGATTAAATTATCACTTGTGTGGATTTTTGCATATTTTTGCTTTTTATCTAATAAAAGGATTTGGTAAAAAAATTGTCTTATAATAGTATATCATAGACCTAAACGCATACATCATTGGTCTTATTCTAGCTATAACTTAAATGTACATTTCTTTTGTACATTACTCATGTAAATAACAAATGCCCTGAAATTTCATACCACGATTGTCAATGCTTTCACCATTATTAACTAGCGTGAGACATACATCTATCATTCTATGCGCAAGATGTAATTAAAATTGTTAGCCTGCAAGCTTTTGCCCCTCAGTTTAAACTAATATTGGCTTTTATTGCTCCCTTTCTGCCATGTCGTTCTCTGTAGTTATTCACTTTGTCTTTTGAGATTTGAACAATGTTGTCGAAAATTGCCATGAATGATTTTTATGTCAATACCACTAATAAGGCAGCAATTTTTTTTCTTTGCAGAAGCTGCTCAATGTCTAAACCAGGCTGTAAACCTTTTCTTGGATATTGGTAGACTAAACATGGCTGCAAGATATTACAAGGTAATTAACCGGAATTATGTATAGGGATTTTCTTTTTGGAAATAAGTTAGTATGTTGATATCATTAAGCACTTTTTTTATGATTTTTAAATTTGGAGCCATGTTAGAAGCTTGATGTTCTCTTTTTTTTTTATCTTTTATTTCTTCTAAAAAATTCTGCTATTTATTGTGCCCCTCTTCCAGATAATATTTGCCCAATCTTGAGAGGCAATATTGTACTCACCATATTTTTATCCAACCTAGTTTATTCGAATTGATGTTATTTTCAGCTTTCTTTCTCTTAAGCATTGCTATTACTTGATTTAGTCCTATGTTTTCTAATTGACAATAAGTTACAAATATTAGAAACATATTGAACGACTTTTAGTTACTAAACATACATATATAGAAGTATAGGGCTATTTATCTATACAGATGTTTACCATACATCTTAAAATTTTATTAGCTAAGATTTAGAGCAACTAAAATTTGTTATTAATTCCTTTAAATTTTAGCCGTTTAAAAAAATTGCAATCGATGTTGAAAGATGTACAAAGAAAAAAAGAGACGTTCTCCTTTGACAAGAAGAATTCCCTTCTCTTGGTTAAATTTGATATTATTGCCTTTAAATGCAAGATCAAAATCATCTATTTTTGCTTACATCATTAAAACTAGAGAAATGCATTATTTCAAGAACATTAAGATCATTTGATCATCAGTTGTGTTTATAGAAAGTTTAATAATGGGTGGCTTCAATTCCATTTTAAGATATTGCGCTTATAGTTGATTGTTTCGATTGGTAAAGATATAGTTAATTTTACACTTTCTGATGTGCCTCTGTACGGCATTTGTTCACTCCTGTATTTTTATATATTTGATGAATAGTTGAATAATCACATAAGTTAATGAAACTTAACCTAACAAATTGTAAAATTAATCCGGCATAAGCTATGCGTGCCTTGATTAGTTTATCTAACAAATTGATATGTTTGACATTTATGGAAAATATTCTAGGTTATGTTATCTCCTACACAATTATTTGCATAATATACATACATTTAATAACGATAGGTTCATCATAGTTTGAAATTTGTGAATATATATTTGTTGTGGATGATTATATTAATAGATGTATGTGTGTTTGTTAAGGATGTATATTCATCTGTTATATTATGTATATTCCTTCTTCATAGAATATTATTAATTTGGGTGTGTGGTGCATGAGTCCAAAGTAGTTTACTAGATGAATTCATAAGCTTTACATTTTTTGCCCACCAAGCAAAAATAGTGAACCTACCATTAAAACATTTTATACATACATTTATATTTTATTAATAAAATATTATTTTTCATATAATTTTTCTTTGGCGTCATCATCATCATCATCATCATCATCATCGTTAGCCTGATTTTAACTAGTCTAGGCTAGCTTTATGTATCTTTATAATCCTTTGACAATAATCTAATCTATCAGGAGTGCATTTCTTCCCTTCATTAGATATATGCAAATCTACTAAGTTTATTTATCCCTTAATTTATCTTTCCTAGCTATGTCACGTAGTTATCTCTAAATTATCATTTCATCATGCTTAACTTAGCTATTATTGATTTTTTAAACAACACTAAGATCCTTTCAACATGATGGACTTACAAGATTGATTTTTAGGTCCCAATTATATCAATTTGTTTAATATTATTGATTCATTTATTTTAATCACTGCACTTAGCGACATCATCATCTGTACTCCATTATTTTGACAATAATTCCAGAATAATTTTTATTATGTTGGTGTTGATTAATAATTGTTACATCCTACTACTAACATTATGTATCATGTAAATTTTTTGTTTTAATAATTCTTAGCATTTTATTTTTAAATATATTTTTTATTGTTCTGGATTTCCACTTAGTTTAGAAGATGTTTCATCAAATAAAGCTGTGCTATCTATAAAAAGAATAACAAAGCAAGCATTTTTATAATTAATACCTATGATGATTATTTATATAATCACTTTGTAACTAAAAACGATTTTTTCACTCTTTAACTACAATGCTAGCTAGTTGTCACGCTCCGTCACATACGGGAAATTGGCAAGGAAACCATGGGATTGATGATTGTAGAGAAGGCCAGAAGGTAGATAGCCATCCAAGAGGTTCTAGAAGATTCCACCATATTCTAGAGAATAAGAGAAGAAAAGGCTCAATGGATAAATTAAGAATAACCTAGAATGTTCTAGGGTGATGTGTGTGATAAGAGAGGAATGTAGAACTCTCTAGAAACTAGAATAATTTAATGTATTTTAGAATGTTCCATTAGTCTTGGAGGGGGGCTATAAATAAATAGCTATAAATAGGAGCCCCTCCCCTCATTTGTAATCACCCAAGCATTGAATCAAAACTTTCAAGTATTCAAGTGTGAAGTGTTCCTTTCTCTCTACTCTTCTTCTTAAAAAGTGTTCGGTGCTCACAAGTCCAGTGTTGCGTGGGTTAGGCTGATTTAGTGCTAAGAAAAAGCGCTAAAGCCGCACGGGTGACTTGAGAGGAAAGTTAGTCCATGACGGTTGGTATCAGAGTCTTGGTTCGAAGGAATGGTAAAGAGTGTCAAAGAGCACGTGATGGAGTCGGAAGCCACTAATGTGGAGTCATCTCAAGGGCGAGGTCGCCAAGAGCAAAGAGATCCCGTTGCACCCAAGCCACATGGGAGGTCCAAGGAGGTCATGCATGGCTTTCATTCGCGCCTTGCTCGGATAGAGGAAGCATTGAATGACATGGAGGGCCATGTAGAGGATCTTGGCCAAAGAGTTGATGAACTCGAGGAGGACGTCACCATCCATTCAACGATAAGATGTATGATGTTCCAACTTGAGGAGACCTTAATGGGCCATATGGCTAAGTTGTAGGAGGATTTGTTGGGAAGCTCCAAGAGGTACGAAGAGCCTATGAGGAGGGGATTAGGGACATGAGTGCTAGCTTGGAGGAAATGCGTAGAGACATTTCGCTGTGCAAGAGAGTACTAGCGGCATCCACAAGCTATCCCACTTTCGAAGCCAAGAGGATTGAAGTTCCAAAACCTATGAGTTTTGGAGGGGTTCGCAACGCGAAGAAAGTAGACAACTTCATATGGGGACTAGAGCAATACTTTGGAGCGATGGGGATTACCGATGAAGATGCAAAAATACAATTTGCCTCTCTTTATCTCTCGGACATTGCTATGCTTTGGTGGAGAAGAAAAAAAAGGAGATGTAAAGAAAGGTTTGTGCTCCATGTCCACTTTCAATGACTTCAAGAGAGAGTTAAAAAGACAATTCTATCCCAAGAATGTCGAGGATGAGGCTCGAGCCCGACTGCGAAGGCTTAAGCAAGAGGGTTTGATTCGAGATTATATCAAGGAGTTTACAAACTTGGTTCTTGAAATCCCAAATATGTCAAACAAGGATGCTCTCTTTAACTTCATGGATGGGCTCAATCATTGGGCAAAGACTGAGCTTAGGAGGCGAGGAGTGTAAGATCTTGCCACTGCCATCGCGCTTGCTGAAAGCTTGGTTGATTATTCAATGGAGTCTAGAAAGCTTGAAGATAAGAAGAGTTGCAATGTCAAAGGTGGGGATGACAAGGGAAAAAATAAGGAGAAACTTCGCGAATCAACTCCAACAAAGGCAAGGGACAAGGGGAAGACCAGCAACAAGTCATATCAAAATCGCTGCTTTCTTTATGAAGGACCTCATTGGGCAAGATATTGCCCTCAGAAGAAGGCCCGCAGCTCACTTCTTGCAAGTCATAAGGAGGAAGAAGGAAGTGATAGGAAAAATGACATGGAGGCACATGTGGGATCTTTTCAACTGCTGAACGGGACGCGAGCTATGACAAAACCTCAAGGGAAGGGGTTACTCTTTGTGGAGATAACAATAGGAGGGAAGACCACCAGAGCAATAAGGGCAATGGTGGATACGGGTGCTTCCCACAACTTCATCTCCAGCGAGAAAGCAAAGAGGTTGGGGTTGAAAATGACTAAAAGAGTGGGCTCCATCAAAGTCATCAACTTAGCAAAGATGTCAATCGACGGAGTGGCTAAGGGAGTTAAGACTAGCATTGGGGCATGGTCAGGTACTCTAGACTTCTCTGTCATTCCTTTGGATGATTACAAAATTGTCCTAGGAATGAACTTCTTGGAGCAAGCAAGAGCATTCCCAATGTCATTTGCCAATAGCTTGTGCATCACGGAAGAGAGTCAAGCTTGCCCAGTACCGATAATGAGGTTAAGCAAGCAAGGATCCAAATCGCTATCGACAATCCAGCTTAAGGATGACATTGTACAGGTGGCAAGGGATAAGCCGCTGGCCAGTAAGACGTGCTGCATGACGCCACTCTCCCATAACACCTAGGAGAATCCAAAGTTTGCCAAATTTGGGGGCAAACCGAAGAGGCGGATTTCAGGGGAAGGGAAGGCCGCAATGAGGGCATTGCGAGTTTAAGTGGGGGAGAGTGTCACGCTCCGCCACATACGAGAAATTGGCAAGGTAACCATGAGATGGAAGATTCTAGAGAAGGTCATAAGGTAGAGAGTCATCCAAGGGGTTCTAGAAGATTTCACCCTATTCTAGAGAATAAGAGAAGGAAAGGCTCAATGGACAAATTAAGAATAACCTAGAATGTTATACGGCTATGTGTGTAATAAGAGAGGAATGTAGAACTTTTTGGGGGGGGGCTATAAATAGGAGCCTCTCCCCTCATTTGTAATCACCGAAGCATTGAATCGAAGCTTTCAAGTATTCAAGTGTGAAGTGTTCCTTTCTTTCTGCTCTTCTTCTTAAAAAGTGCTTGGTGCTCACACGTTCAGTGTTGCGAGGGTTAGGTTGATTTAGTGCTAAGAAAAAGTGCTAAAGCCGCACGGGAGACTTGAGGAAAGTTAGTCCGTGACATAATTCTTTATTATGCACATCTTTATTAACATCAATATGCTTTTTGACATTTGAATCTTTTTAATAGCACACCAAATTAATTCTCTTGGCTCTCGATTATAT